TTTAAACAAACTATGGATTTATGCATGGTTTATTCATTCTAATTAACATTTTATTTTCAAACTTTTCATTAATGCGCATTACATACCACTTATATTTCATCATATGTATATCTTATTATTAGTAAATTTTGAGTTTTATTTGTTCAATACATTCGATAATGTATATAACATCTATGAAAGTTTTACACAAAAATTATGTGTTTGAATGCCTATATATGTCATTTTTGTTGATTTTTTCTCGATACCTAAAACAATAACGATATATCCCCCGAAATATCCGTAAATTGGAGGCCCGATATTATCTGCACGGCCGATATTTTAATCCTTGCATACATGTGACCTAAATAACCATGCTCAATTAAAATTGCTAGGTAATTGGAATGTTATATTGGTTGTGCTCTAAATATCTCTTTATATGCTGGCTAAATAACCAATTTCGTCCAAAAATATCCCTCCATGTGAGGGAAATGTTCTTTTTCGGTCATGAAATTGGACGGAAATTTGGACATGTCCTTGAAATGCGATGGATATATCAAATTATAAGGGTCAAATCGCCATAAATGAAACAATGAAAACCAAAGTAAAAACTCCGACAAACTACATAAACCAAAACTGAATTTTTGTCAAAATTATACATATGTCTCCACCTCTCTTTCGAAAATTGCAGAGAAAAAGGAAGAAAATTAAACTCAAGGTCATGTTTAATAGTGGGAAAAGACTAAGGTTGTTGTTCTTGACCTCAATAAAGACTAAAGTTAACAACGGTTGCTATCTAAAGAGCGTGACTTTGCTGGCAAAATGTCTTTTGGTGCGTTTCACATGGTACCAAAGTACAATGGAATCCATTTAAGCTTTGACGGGCTAATTTAGCTTAGCAATAGCAACTAACGTGTTCATGGGGGTTTCTTCTTTGGAAAAAAATGTAGGAGACTCAACTTTTCTTTTTGGCAACTCAGAAATGCAAAGCACTGCCAAGTTGCCAACGCCAAAATAGCTGTCGAGGAGCGAAGCTAGTAAGCAATTGAATCACAAACACCGAATATCATGGCACGTTTAGTGGTGGTGAGGTTTGAACCAGATGTCAGTATTTTCATTTTCATAACTTAGTAATTTATTACGGAGTATAGACTTTTTCACCAAGAAAACCGTTGTAACAAAAGAAAACTTCTGTTTTTTTTTATTTTTTTATTTTTTGCCAAATTTAGAAAGGGAAGGGGAAAAACTCACACGCAGATACTATGAAAACTTGAACTCAAGACCACTTAGTAGGAGTACACCAAAGGCTTGAGCCAATCCAACTATACCTCATTGGTAGAAAATTGTTGTTATTGACCTGCAGAGTTATTATTGAACGGCAAGATTGAACTCCTCAAGACACCCTCAACATAAACCCCTTCAGAGCATCCACAATGAGTTCTCTAAACCACCTCCTTAGACAAATAGGAATTGTAAAAATGCAACTCCAACAATGCTCCCTATCCACCTCCTAAAATAGGGAGTCATGTAGGAGCTCCTAAATATGAGGATAGAGAAAGGAGTCCTAGTAGCTCCCTATAATTTAATGTTGTTTTATTTAATGAGTATTTCAAACCTTTATTTAATGCTAATTATTTTTTATTTTATTTTTTAATAGAGATAAACCAATCAAAAAAGAGTTATAGCATTTATGACTCTCCAAATTAAGAAGTATGATTGAAGTTGAAATTTTGTAGAGAGCTCCTAAAATAGCTTTCTTATATTTTTAGCAAAGAAATAAAGAGCATCATTGTGGATGCTCTCATATAAATGTGCGTATGCCAACAATTTTGTACCTATGTATGTATCCAAAATAATGTCCCTAATCACGAGGTAATAATCAAAATTTAGTCTTCCACTTGATTTTAATGAAAAAAAGCTGCCGAGCTCTAGCACATTGGAAATGATCTTGACTTGCGAATCAATAGTCTCAAGTTCGAACCCTCATGACACATTGACAGTGTGTGAGAAACCTCCCCTCTCCCAATATCGCTTGTATAAAAAATAAAATAAAAATCTTATCCAAATTTTTTATTTTTATTTTTTATTTAAAAAAAAAAAAAAAAAAAAACATATGCTCTCCTATGCATGTGTTAGCCAAAGTTAAAGCACCTTGTCTGGCCTATGATTGCAACAAACTGCAATTTACTTTATACATGACAGCTCAAAGAGGCCCAAACCAGGATATATGCTTATCCATGACCTGCTGTGGCTTTGACATTCAACCATAAAATCCTTGTCATTATATCATTCCACATAACACAATCCATCAGATTATTGGTTTCTTGGTCTCTGTCTCCTCTTTCTTACGTCGCTAAATTAACAATCAATTCACATGAAGGAAAAAATAAAGGCTGGCCGATATCAATTGAAAGGAAATATATGCTTATATTAAGGTCCCTACAACATGTGCAGCACTACAAAAGTCATCTTCAAAACAAAAGGTCCACTTTTCAAGCCACCTAACATGTTTCCTTCCAAATCCTCTCTTCTCTTCCCCATGTGCAATTACGTACAGCTTCAACACCACCACCGAATTCCCTTATAAATATTTAAAACAATACATCTACAAACATGCACATCAACTATACTAACATGCACAACTCTCTCCCTCTCTCACACGCATATCAACCTAACCCTTTAACAACCAAAATCTTTGTTTCTTTTTTCTGTCATTAAATCTTGCAAAATAATAACTTGAATCCTAAGCGGTCCTGTTGTTACACAGCCTGGAGAATCATTCAAACACATCAAACATAATGATTTGTCATAAGAGCAGAGCAAATTGGCAACAGTCCAGCCAACAAGCATTATTCAAAGTAAAAGAATATCATTAGAAAAAATTGCCTTTAATGAGTAGGTAATAGAATATTATACAACAAACTTTCTTTAGTTTCTTTCATTTTTCTTTCTCATGATCACCAACTCAATCTGTTAGCTATCAAAGAATCAACAACATAAAGTTTTTACAGGTTACATGCAAGCTCATTAGTAACATAAGGATCGTAAAAACAACATGAAAAAAGAATAAATACAAGAATCTTCGATACACGGGTGATCCGCTTGGATCAAAACTGCTTGATGCATTACCTGCTTTTTTACTCGATCGTATCTTCCTCAACCCGACATTTTTGGGTCTCTTTTTCTTGGTTTTTAAAAGTGAATTGATCTCTAGCTTTTATATCATCGACAATCCATCGAATCGAATGAATCAGCAAATCCAGAAGGTTTCGAAGGGATGCTTGATTGAGTTTGAGAGTAGGACAGATCATCAAACATCCTGGAAGTACCTTCATTGGCTTGCCATCTTTGCAATGCTTGAGGAAGGC